TCATAGGAGGAGTAACCATATAGGAAGAATTTGGGTGGATGGTGAGTTGTGGAGAGAGGAAGAGGTGCGTAACGGTATTGCCTCCTTTTATCAAAAGCTTTATACCGAGCCTTTAGTTTGGAGGCCCAAACTTGATGGTCTTCATTTTAAGGCTATCTCTGAGCTTTAAAGAGATAGGATTGAGAATCCTTTCACTGAAGAGGAAGTTCTTAAGGCTTCATAAAGTTATAATGGGGACAAAGCTCCGGGACCTGATGGCTTTACCATGTGATTTTTGATGAAAAGTTGGGCAGTTGTAAGAAATGAGGTAATGAGTACTTTTCAGGAGTTTCATTCTTTTGGCGTCTTTGAGAAGTCGCTTAATGCTTCTTTCATTGCCCTTATCCCAAAGAAGGGAGGCGCTTCAAATATAAAGGATTTCCGTCCAATCAGTTTGGTGGGCTGTATTTACAAACTTATTGCTAAGGTGCTTGCTTTAAGGATGAGGGAAGTTATGGATGGGATCATCTCGGATTCCCAGAATGCCTTTGTTGGCGGTAGGCAAATTCTTGATTCAGTTCTTATTGCTGGCGAATGTGTAGATTCCAGATTGCGGAGTGGTATTCCTGGAGTTTTATGCAAACTTGACATTGAGAAAGCATATGATCATGTGAATTGAAATTTCCTACTCTATTTGTTACAAAGAATGGGGTTTGGAAGTAAATGGAGGAAGTGGATTGAGACTTGTCTTTCGTCTGTCAAGTTTTCAGTTCTTGTGAATGGTTCTCCCGCTGGTTTCTTTGGTTGCTCTCGGGGTATAAGACAAGGTGACCCTTTGTCATCTTTCCTTTTTCTTGTTGCTAAGGAGGGCTTAAGCAGACTTATGCGCAGGGCAAAAGACCTTATAAAAGGTTTCAGGGTGGGCAGAGATTTGGACCATCAGATGGAGATTTCTCATTTACTCTTTGCTGATGATACCCTGGTTTTATGTGATGCTGATGTGTCTCAACTTCGATATTTGAGGTGTATCTTGACTTGCTTTCAGGCAGTTTCCGGGCTTAAGGTCAATGTGGCTAAGAGTGAGCTTGTCCCAGTAGGGAATGTTCAGGACATTTCCTCTTTAGCTGCAGTCCTTGGATGCAGAGTGAGTTCTTTCCCTATTCCTTATTTGGGCTTACCCCTAGGGGTTTCTTCAAGGTTAGTGGGGAGTTGGGATTCCGTGATTGATAGGTATGTGAAGAGATTGGTAGGTTGGAAGAAGCAATACTTGTCAAAGGGGGGTAAAGTTACTCTTATCAAAAGTACGTTATCAAGCCTTCCCACTTATTTTCTTTCTATGTTCCAAATTCCTTGTTCCGTTGCAACTAGGAATGAAAAAATTCAAAGGGATTTCCTATGGGGAGGAAAGGGCAATGAATTCAAGTACCACCTTGTCAAATGGAAGGAAGTTTGTAAGCCTGTGAAATTGGGTGGACTTGGAACAAGACGTTTAGTTCCTTTCAATCAAGCTCTCTTGGGTAAATGGTTATGGAGATATGGGAGGGAAAGACATCGTCCATGGCGCAGGCTAGTATCTTGTCGATATGGGGACGAGGCTGGAGGTTGGTTTACACGTCCAGTTACCCTCGCGGGAGGAGTCGGGATGTGGAAAGCTATTCGGAAGGGATGGGATGCTTTTTCTGCCCATATTAGATTCAAACTCCGTGATGGTCATCCTATTCGGTTTTGGGATGATCTTTGGTGTGGGGATCAGCCACATTCTCGTACATTTCCTAAATTATTCAGTATTGCTGTTGATAAACACGCCTACGTAGTTGATTGTTATCGGCTTGATAGCAGTGGGATTACGTGGGATGTGCATTTTCAACGCTCTCTTCAGGACTGGGAGATGGACAAGGTATGTGTTTTTCTGAATCTCTTGTATCGACAGGAGGGTGTTGGTAGAGATAATGATGTTTTGATTTGGGTTCCTTCTTCCCACGATCGTTTTGAAGTTAGATCCTTGGTCTTATGTTTGTCTAATTTTGTTAATCGAGAATTCCCATGGAAAACTATTTGGCGGTCTATGGCTCCAACTAGAGTGGCTTTCTTTGTTTGGACTGCTATGAGGGGAAAGATTTTGACAGTTGATAACTTGAGAAAAATGGGTAATTATATTGTTAATCGGTGTTGTCTATGCAAGGATACCGAAGAGTCCGTTGATCACCTCCTTTTGCATTGCCCTCTAGCGACCGATTGTTAGAATTTATTGTTGGGTTTTTTGGCATGAGTTGGGTTATGCCACAATCTACTAAGGAATTAATTCATGTTTGGAGAAGATGTCGGGTGAGAAGAGATGTCCGCGATTTCTGGAGAATTGTACCTCATTGTGTATGGTGGTGCATCTGGAAGGAGAGAAATAACAGAATGTTCGAAGGGAAAGAGTCGCCTACGGCAATGGTCAAACTTTACATTCTTCGCTCTCTTTTCAATTATGTGAAGAGAAGTTTTTGTTCTTCTTCGGATGATTTAATTACTTTCTTGGATTCGTTAGGGCCTTAGTCCTAGTCCCACTCTTGTAATTGGGACGCGTTCCCCTTTTGAACGCCTTTTCTTATATTATTTTTACTTATCAAAAAAAAAATATGAAGAGTTTTAAGGGGAAAAATGGGGGATTTTGAGTCTTGTACCCCATTCACCCTTTCTAATCAAAAAATAAATCTTACAGAAAAAGGAAAAAGAAAAAAATTATTGGACATCTTACAAATTCTTAGTGAAAATGGTACTCTTAACTTATGAAGTGAATAGAACATAGGCATGAAATGAATAATAACATAGTGACTATTTTTTTTTTTTTTTTTTGATGTTTTGACGACATACTATTCATTATTTCAGTTGCTACTAAAAATGAAAAAAGATTTCTACAAGTAACAATTATTGGCGTTTGCATTAGGAGAATATTATATATAATTCTTCCCAAACTATGATGAACTAAAGATTAAAGAGGGGATTTAAGATCTACCCCATAATATTAGACCAATAGTCCACTTGTAGAATAGTAATGACAAGGTTTTTTTTTTTTTTTTTTTGGGGGGGGGGGGGGGACTAAATAAAGACCTTTCTAGACTACTCAAAGAATTTATTGGGAACATGAATTTAAATCTATTTAAGAGGAAAATGAAAAATAATCATAGAAACCCTTTTTTATAGAGAGAGGAAGGGAGGTTTGAAGTTGTCAAAATGATGTTGTATACATGTGATGATGCTCTCTCTTCTTCAATGTTTCTGGTTTTTGGATGACTAATGTTAGAGAGAGAGTGTGTGTAAGAGTTAGAAAGAGAACACGGAGGGCAAAGGCATCAAAAGACTAGAACATTAAAATAAAAAACATTTATTAACCTTCGTGGGGTCCATTCCAATTGAAAGCAAACACTCAATAAATTAAGAAGCACATTAAATTTCAATTGGAATGGACCTCGTGAAGGTTAAATTTGTAATTTGAGTTTTTGGATTTGTTGAGGGTTTAGAGACCCTATTTGGCCTTGTGCTGTTTTTTGAGGGATGCATTCCCCAATTGAACGCTTTTATTGAATTTTTTACTTATCAAAAAAAAAAGAAGGTTAAATTTGTAATTTTAAAATAACAATTATAAGCATGTTAATTTAACATTAAATAGTAAGGTCAATTTTGTCATTTCACAACCCAATTAACACGAATATGGGATAACATGATAAGTTTTGTTAGTTCTGGCGGTTATTTGATTCTGTTGGGGTTATATGCATATTTTTTATGGTACCCGAGGGTTATAATTTTACTCCTTATAATATCTATTTACCAAGAAAACGTATCTACCTATCTATCATATTCAAGGAATGCCCCGAGGTTCTGATATGTTAAATAGTTAGAGTGCACAAGGTCCAAAAATAGATCTAAGGGGTGAATTGATCTTGTCCAAATCTAACTAACACTAACTAATTTTAAAATCTAACAATTAAATTGAAAACGCAGCAGTACAGGAACTGCAACTGAAAAAACCACAGGACATAGTCCAACATATTAAAATCCACTAAATGAGAGAAATTTATAACTAGGTTACCCGATTCCCTCCTAGAATCACCAAGTCTATCCTGACTGAGACTTGCGCAATATCCTCCCGATCTTCTCAGCTATTGCTCTGTCAACAGATCCACATTCGCTTCTCCATGGACTTCTCATATCCAGCATTAGTCGCGGCTGCTCTCCAAATATGTTTGTTGTGTGATGTAGGTATTGATGGCAATTTAAGCTCCACAAGTTGACAATCAACACTCTGAACAATAACTAACCACCAGGCCATAGGCTTAGGTGGTATAAACTATAACCCTAAATGGGAGGTGAGTGGATGTGTATTTATCATCTCTATATCTATGTATGTCTGTCATACAAACCTAGAAGCATTCATACGGTACTATTGAGTCAAAAGGAATTAGGGTTACTTAGTTCAAATTAGAAAAGGAAAACTTAGCCTTTTAGAATTTTAATTAAAGAGTGTTTCCAAAAGAGTTGGTGCACATGTCAATCATTTAATACAATCCTATAATCCCAACATTAATGTCTCCAACAATCTAACATTTTGACTCAATCTCTTCTTTTCTTTCTGATCATAAGTAAAATATTACTGAGAAGTTTATGTCAACTCATTTAATATGGTTTTGCTTACGTAAATTTTAATTATTATATTGAAAAATATAGAACCATTTCTATATTCTAAATTTCTAATTCAACTTTTACAGAAAATAATTGAATTTATCAGTTATACATTACTCAGCATATCAAGAGAAATTAACCCATATTCTGAGTTTAAGTTTCAGAATTCTGCTCAAATTATTAAATTCAAATTTTTAGTACTATCAATACCATCCAATATAATCATCGTCTAAACAAGAATTCAAAACACAATATGTACACATAGAAGTACAGAGCTAGTAAATCAAACGTTATCCTCCAAACAAGCAAACACTGAGAATAAATTGGGTAAACAAGAGGCATTTGACAGCACATACCTTGCCTTCAGGATGAAAACAGGGATGAATGATCCCATTCATGTCCAAATACAAATTATCGAACTCCATGTTGTTAGGATTTGGTCTGGACACATCGACGGGTATGAGCACGCCATTGTGGTCCTCCCTTGGCTCTTCCTCCAACACGTCGACGATCGATTGAGGGTACCGATCGGCGAGCCACCTGTAAAACGCTGGGACGCCCATCGAGCTCGATCCAGAGCTGATTCAACACTACAGAAAATGGCGTGTTGTGATGGCGCTTATTAAGTTTTAGAGAGAGAGAGGCTTGAGAGAGAGAGGGAAGGGGGGTTCACGACGATTCGGTGGAAGTCGGTGGAATCAATTTGCTACCAGTGGCGTGGTGTCGTAACAAGTGCTTCTGATATGCATATGGGGTTAAATTACGATGGTAGCCTTTTTGTCAAACTAATAATAATTGGAGGGTAATGTCACACGGCGTCGTCTAGTGTATGATAGGAGTCGTCAAAGCAAAACATTTTATCTGCGTGGAGAGATATAATTGATTAATGATGGCACCTGTCTATTCACAGTTGCTATTGTTATTGGTGTGTTGAATTGTAATTTATACCTTTCTTAATGAGATGTTTTCTACTTTTTATAAGATATTAAAATATATATTTTTATGAACAAAACTATCCTTATCCCTTTCATTTGCCTTTCTTCCCACTCTCCCTCTATCCTTACCTCTTTCATTTGCCTTTCTTCTCATTATCTTTTCATTCACATAGCAATGTTTATATATATATATATAAATAGCTAACAATATGTGAGTTTATTCTATAATATGTGAGTGTATTTTTTCTTCCCTTTTATTTTAAATTATCGTTTAACCTTTATATATATATATATATATATATATATATATATATATATATATAAACTTGCATATGGATCTAACAAGGAAAAAGAAAAGAAAAGGAATTAAAGTAACCCGTATAGATCTAACAAGGAAAAAAAATGAAAAAAAAAAAAAAAAAAAGAAGAAAAAGAAGAAGAAGAAGAAGGAAAGTAATGTTGTAATGTTATATATATATATATATGTAAACTTCATTAAGTGAGAATTGAGGAGACGGATGAAAGGCTTAAAAGGGCTATTTTGTCCCAAAAAAATATATAGTTTTAATATTCTATAAAAAGTGGAAAACTTGTAATTAATGAAGACATTAATTACAATTCTACTCACCAATAAGAACAGGCGACTGTGAATGGGCAATCGCCTTAGCGGTCCTTTTTTTTTTTTTTTCACACTTATCGACTGTCCTTAGCATTCCGCTTTTCTTATTGAATTACTCTAATCTTGAAGTTTGGACAAATTAAATGTGGGTGAACCATTGAGCGTCTATTATTTTGACCTTTTTAAAATTTGGCGTGTATGTTCAACGATATCTTTAGCGTTTTATTTTCGACAGACCCATTGATTAAATTTTATAAAACGATCATTTTACTATTCCCTTATTTGAAAATGTCTTTTCCTTATATGAAAATCGAGGCTGTTGAAATATCTGTATTATTATTATTATTATTATTATTATTATTATTATTATTACTAGTTGTTTTTAGCTGGTGTTTTATGTAAGATTCATATTATCATAAGATCACGTAAAGATAAGATCCCCATAATCATGGGATCACGTAAATTTTAACACATTTCATGTTTTTCTTTCATTTGGTTTCTTTTCTTTGTACCATATTCTTGTATATAAATATAGCTCTTGACTCCTGGTTTAAGTAAGCCAAAATCCAAAACTTCTTCTTTTTGGTATCAGAGCAAAACAAAACATTCGCCTCCCCATCTTCCTCCCCAACGCCACCACCTTCTCTCTCCCTCTCTCTATTTTCCCTCACCTCCGGTGCACCTCCATCTCCTCCCAACCCTTGCGCCGAACCCCTCGGGTAATCCTCTATTTTTTACTCCTTTTTTAAGAGAATTCCCTTAGGTTTTTTTATGACCTAAGGGTCCTTCTGGTGTTTTTTTTTTTTCTTTGTGGGCTATCGGTGTTTGTTTGACAGTATATTTGGAGGAAAGCGCTGATTTTTTCGGTTTTGTTTTTTTTTTTCTCTTTCCTCCTACTTTGACGTGTGGATCAACCTTATTTTGGTACTATGACTGAATCTAGTAGCCAAAAGGACACTTTATCCTCGGTCCAGTATACTTTATCTTCGGCACGTCATACTCTAGCACAACGGATTACTAATGTGTTCTTGAATGGGCATAACTTCGTATCTTGGTCCCATTCTCTTCAACTCCATATTAGAGGGAAAGGGAAAACTGGTTGGCTTTTGGGTCTAGTCAAGGAACCAGAAAAGACGGATACTAAATATATTGCATGAGACATGGACAGGTGCACCATTCTGGGTTGGATCTTCAACTTAATGGAGAAGTGTATCTATAATATGTTCACGTTTCACACTTCCGTTTTTCATCTGTGCAAGCCCTTAACAAGATGTATGCCCATTCCCGCAATGATGCTCGTATCTTGGAACTTATCGGGAGATTACACATCCATCTCAGGAGACATTAAAGCTGTCACTATCAAAGTATTTTGGGTACCTTCAGTCTAGGTGGGAAGAATTAGCACAGTATGAACCTTTCTCCGATTTCTCTTAAGAAGTTGTAACTCTTTTGGTCAAGAGACTGGACGGCCAGCATACTTACCAGTTTTTTATAGGTTTATGATCTGAGTATGATGCTCTTAGAACTCAAATCACAAACACATCTCATATGCCTGATTTATGAGGAGCATAGACGTCAGATCTCTCACCCAGTAGCTTTACCAGAGACTCCAGTTGATCAGATGGCTCTTATTGCTAATTTTAGACTTTCATAGGGAAAGGTTATTTGTCAACATTGCGGAGCCACGGGTCATGTAAAGGATCGTTACATTAAGCTTTATCTCGAGCTAAAGCATAAATTTTCTTGCAATCGTCTTTCTGGTCGGCCGCACTGCCGTAGTAACCAATACTATTGGTGGGTATACTACTCCACAGATTGTTGTCCCTCCTGCTTCAACTCCTCCCAGGCCATCTTTTCAGGACTTCAATCAGTTACAGTCCTACATTGGTCAGCTTCAGGAGCAGTTTGGAGCTTTATCTACCAAAGCTGGCTCTTCTATTCCCATGGCTATTATATCTATAGGTACTCCTTCTAGTTTTATGTTAAAGCGGGAAAACTTACTTGGGTTCTGGATTCCGGCGTCAATGATCATAGGACTGGTGAGTTGTCATTCTTTTCTACTTTCGTTACCTCTGTTAATCAGGCTGTTAGTCTAATCGATGGGTCAACCACCATTATTCATAGTAAAGGAGATGTTCATCTATCCTCTTATATTATTTTGCTATTTGTTCATGTTCCTAACTTTGCATTTAATGTTCTATCTATTTGCAAACTTGCCAAATCACTAAACTGTGCAGTGATTTTCTTTCCTCATTACTGTGTTTTACAGGACCTGTGTTCGAAGAGGATTTTTGGTAGGGGATATAAGCACGATAGCCTCTACTACTTTAGGGATCCTTCACCGATACTTCCACCACTTGCTTTAAGCCTTCAAGCCTCTGTTTTTCCAGTTTTTAGATTTTATAATTTTTCTTTTTAGACTTTAAATTTATGGCATGGTCACCTTGGGCATGTAAACTTTTAGTATTTATGTCTACTTTTCCCTTCATTAATAATGGCTTGTAAGGATAATTAGTTTCAAAGTGAGATTTGTAAGTTTTCTAAACAAACTAGAACCCGTTATATTTCTCATATGCATCGTGCACATACTATATTTGATCTCATACATTCTAATGTGTATGGTCCTTCTCCTGTTACTGCTTTTTCGAGGCATCGTTATTATGTCACATTCATTGATGATTATTCCCACTACACATGGGTATATTTACTTAAAAAGAAATCTAAAGTTTTTCTTCATCAACTTACTTGTCCATATATCCCTTAACAGAATGGTGTGGCAGAGCATAAAAACCGCCAACTAATGTCAGTTGTTCGATATCTTTAAGTGGTATGAATGTGCTAAAGTCATATTGGCACATGGCGGTTCTTACAGCTATTTTTCTCATTAATTATACCCCTAGTAGAGTATTAAATGGTAAGGCCCCCTTACAACAAGTGCTTCAGCCTGATATTAATATTTTTTCCATCATGCCTCGGGTGTTTAGATGTACATGTTTTGTTCAGAGTAGTAGCCCTTCTCGTACTAAACTTGATGACAAGGCCATTAAATGTATTTTTTTAGGATACTCTTCATTGTTGAAAGGTTACCGCTATTATGATTTTGTACACAAACACATGTATCACTCTCTTGATGTCACATTTCATGAGCATACCCCTTTTTATGGTTCCAACACTATCTTGCAGGAAACTTCTACTCCCGATTAAAAGGTTCCTCCTCTTGCTCGTCCACTTCCTGCTTTTCAAGAAGAGTCTTCTCTTGTGGTTTCCTCACCTCCTTTGCAGGTTTATTCTCGCTACCATCGTGCTCCTCCTTTACTGCCTTCATCCTCCTCAGATACAGGTTTAAATACATCTTCTCTCTCCCCTTTACATTTCCCTGACCTTGTTTCTAAGTCTCGGTATCCCACTCGGGACCGTAAACCCCCTGCTTAATTCGGATTCGTTTGTAATACTGATCATCAAATTTTGCAGTATATCTCTTATAATGGTCTTTCGGGGTCTTACCGAGCTTTTCTAGGCAAATTTGATTCAATTTTCATTCCCATAAATATCTCTGAGGCTCTCCGGAATCCCAATTGGATGTCTGCTGTGATGGTAGAAATGGATGTCTTGCAGCAAAACGAAACATGGGAGCTTTCATTTCTCCCTCCTAGTGAAAAGACTGTTGGTTGGAAATGGGTATTCAGTGTTAAATATCTGATTGATGGATCTATTGATCGGTATTAGGCTTGTTTAGTGGACAAAGGGTTTACTTAGATTCCTGGTAAAGACTTTAATATTACCTTTGCTCCAGTGGCTAAATTGGCCTCAGTTCATTTGTTTGTCTTCTTGGCTGCCTCTCACAATTGGCCTCTTCATCAGCTTGATGTGAAGAATGATTTCCTTAACGGTGATCTTCTTGAGACTATTTATATGGATCGTCCACCCGATTTTCGAGCTGAGGGGGAGTATGTTGGAAAGGTCTGTTGATTGTGGAAGTCTTTGTATAGGTTAAAACAGTCTCCCAAAGCTTGGTTCAGCCGCTTGAGTGATATAATTTTATCCATGGAGTTTGTTAGATGCCATTTTGACCATACATATTTTATCCATCGTTCTTTCACCGATCTGTGTATCATTCTTCTTGTCTGTATTGATGATATCATCATTACTGGCAATGATATCCCTGGGATTGCTCAAGTAAAGATTTAATTGGCTAAAGCTTTTGATGTGAAAGACCTTGGGCAACTAAGATATTTCTTAGGATTGAGGTTGCTAGATCTAAGTAGGGCATCTCTTTCTCGCAAAGGAAGTATGTCTTGGATCTTTTTCGAGACACGAGTATTCTTGGGTGTAAACTCGTTTCCACTCATCTGGATCCTAATATAAAGATCTCGGCTGAGTCTGGAGATCTCCTTTCTGATCCCTCACAATATCAGAGTTTGGTAGAAAGATTGATTTATCTTACCAACACCCGTCCTGATATGGCTTTTGTTATTAATGTTATGAGTTAGTTCATGCATGCTCCTCGTACAACTCATATGGTGCAGTATATCATATTACTCCCTCTGTCCCAAAATACTTATCTATATTTCCATTTTGGGATGTCCCACAAAACATGTCCCATTCCAAAATTGAATATACTATTTTTTATAACATTCCCAAACTATCCTTTTAACTAAACAAGTGCACTAATTACGGAACACTATTTTGTCTTTTAGTAAGGGAATATTTGAAACCTCACTTATATCCCAAAAAAAAAAAAAAAAAAACTCCACTACGATAAAAAGTTGGATTCCCCATGCAGAACATGTATTTTGGGATAGAGAGAGTATTCGATATCTTAAGTCCTGTCCTGTCCTGGACTTGGATTATTCTATTCTTCTAACAGGCAGGTTGGGCTATCCTATTTTAGTAATGCAGACTATGATGGGTCAAAAACTGAAAGACGTTCCACATATAGCTTATGTACTTTCTATAGAGATCATCTTATATCCTGGAAAAGTAAGAAGCAACCTGTAGTTTCGAGATTTTCAGCAGAGGCTGAGTATCGTGCCATGGCCCAGGGTACTTGTGAGATTCTTTGGCTTTGATCTTTCTTGGAGGAATTAGGGCTAAGTGACAAATAATCCTCAGACTTGTTTTGTGATAATAAGCCAGCCATGATGTTTACTTCATATTCTGTTTTTCATGAGAGGACTAAACATATAGAGGTGGACATTCATTTTATCAGAAAGAAGGTTCGTTCAGGAATTATCAAGCCGTGCTTTGTTCGGTCCTCTAATCAGTCGGCAGATGTGTTCACCAAATCCGTTGGTCCATCGTTGCTTCATTCCTCAATTACCAAGCTGGGCTTGATTGATATAAACAAATTTTGGTAACTATTTATGTTTACAATTTATTGTTTATATAAACAAATTTTGAAGAAAAAGATGTTTGTTAACATTGGTTATGTTTATCGATTATATAAATTCACTTATATAATTACCATTCACATAGTCCAATTTTATAAATGTCAAAACGACGTTTATGTTTATGTGTTTTTTTTTTTTTTTCCTTCTTATTTTTCTTCTATATAAAAAAAACATGGAGCTAATAAGCAAAACAAACATTATTCTTTTGGTGGGTCTTCATAATGGGTATCTTGAAATATTACTTAAGTAATGAGTACCTTCCGGAAAAGGAAAAAAAATTTGAGTAGAGTAGCAATTTGTTACCTAAAGCCATTATAAGTAAGAAATAATTGGACACTTTATAGATGTTTTTATTAATTATTCAAAACTGATATTAAATTTTTAAAAAACAACTTAAGGTTAACAAACATATTTTTTTGTTTATTCTTTTAAAAATAAGATAAACATTTTTACGTTATCAAACAATGTATCTGTTTATCGATAAACAAAAACTACATATAAACACTCATTATATTTAAGCTTAAATGATAAACAATAAACAAAAACGGTTACAAAAAAGGGGCCATTATTATTATTATTTTATTATTAGCTGATTTCAACCTTTTATTAGGTGTTTTATGTAAGATCCCTATTATCATAAGATCATACAGATATGATCCCCGTAATCATGGGATCACATAGATAAGATCCCCGTAATCATGGATCACATAGATTTTGGCATATTTCCTGTTTTTCTTTGATTTTGTTTCCTTTCTTTGTACGCTATTTCTTGTATATAAATATAGCTTTTGGCTCTCAGTTTGAGCAAGCCAAAACCCAAAACTTCTTCTTTTGGGGCATTACCAACTTTTTACACTCAAAGTCACCTTTAGATAGTTGATTTCTTTATAGGGAGTGGTTTATTTTCTTGATGAAAGATACCATATGTAAGCTTTGATTTACCATTTAGAGAAAGCATTTCTACATTGATCAACTCATCAATCTCATTATAATGATCATCTTTATAGGAATAGGGGTCTGTTTCATCAAATGAGACATGAATAGATTCCATAATCCCCAGTGTTCTTTTATTGAATAGTTAGTATGCATTGTTATTTAATGGATAACCAATGAAGATATATTTATTAAATTTAGTGATAGTAGATTAACTAATGATATGGTGGATCATCAAGTTAAAGGATTAGATATAATTCATTCGATAACAAACATGTAGGTTTTTTGAGAGAATCTTTACTTATGTATCTTATTGTTGTAACTCATCGTATAAATACACAATATAACACCATTATATGAGTGTGGTGAAAATTTTCAAGATTATTTTCTTCTTTTTTCATATAATCTATGTTTTTAACTTGGTATTAGAGAGTAAAATACCTCGGTTTTTTAAATCACACAATTCCTCTCTTTTCTATACCACGATATGATCTCATGGCCTCCAATCCAACCTCATCCACTTCAACAAATGTTTCACCTCTATCACTCTCATATCTCCCATCACCTATTTCAGGAATCCCAAACTTGGCACAAGTATCTATCAAGCCAAATAGATCAAGTTATTTTTTGTGGAAGAGTCAACTCCTCCCCATTCTTTATGGGACTGAGATATTAAGTATGGTTAATGGCATAGGCTCCACCAACCATTATCTCCAGGAATTCTATAGTGGCTCCAAATCTGAAATACCTTGAATGGAAGAAGAATGATCAAATTCTTCTTAGTTGGGTACATGTTACGTTAACTTCTCAAGTACTCGCATAGGTCGTGGGCTACAAGACTTCTTGTGACACATGGGTTGGCTTAGATAATGTCTACATGTCTCAAGAAAATGCTATGTATTATCATATCAAGCATGAACTTTCTATTGGTTTTGTATGCCCTAGTATAACAAATTAATGAATTGGGATGCGTTATATTCAATTGATGAATTATGTGTATTGGTCAGTTCAGTATTTAAATTGAGGTGTCTACTTGACTACACAAGTAATTTATATGTGTATGAGGGCATATCATATGCAGTATATGAATTATAGGATTTATGTTGTCATAAATGGTTCATGATCAGTAACAAATGATGGAGTCCTTATAATGAAGAGATGAACTAGATCTACGATGTGGATCTAGAGTTGTGAAAGTCGTTATAACAACTAACTTCATATCACCATCACAGCGAATGACAATCAAGGATGAGAGAGAGATCGACTCTTATATTAATTAATAGTTGCATGTTTTATTCGACGGGATCTATAGGACCTAATGACTGATACTTTGGGTAACTATTATTGAATAACTTGGGAGCATACCCTCAAGAGTTGCATCGGTGCTATTTTATTTTGACTTGATTGATTTGATCAAGTAAAATTCGGGGGCACTGGTGGTTTTGATAAAATATTTTTTCTTCATATATTTATTTATCAAATATATTATTTTATCAAATAAATATTTTATGTGGTCAAACGGAATAATCAAGGAGTCGAAATAAAATGAATTATTAAGTGGTCGAATTGATGACTTATATTATCCGATAGCTTAATTAAGTATAGAGCGGCCATGACACAAATTGACTTCATGGAAATCCCTATGCCAAATGGAGTGCCATTAATTATATTTAGTGGAGTTGGAATTAATTAATAGGTTAATCAAATTAGGTCAAAGGAGGTTGACCATATCAATTAATAGTCCATTGGAGCCATGAAGAAAGTAAGCCCAAAAATCTTCACCCATAACCCAAGTAATGAATTTGAAGCAAATTAATGAGAAAAAGACAAAAATAAAAAATAAAAAAAAAAAAATTTATAGGAGGTGATTGGGGCATCCCATGCAAGTTAAATGAATTGATATGGACACCCATATTAAACTGTAGGAGTTGTTAAGTCCACTCAAAGACATCTATATATTGGGTACTTATAGAGAAATTCATATACTTAAGAGTTGACATTTCACATGCAATTCTAATGAGAGAAAGTATGGGATAAAACCTATACATACAAGTCCCATATATCAATCTCCTTCTACAATTCTAGATCTAAGGTTTTGCTTCTTGATGAGTATATATTTAATACATATTTTATCCCAATATTTATATTTGTTAGTACTTTTATCTATTTTATTTTAATTAATAAAGGGTTTTTATGTCTTTTCAAGTCTTTGGTAATTTTCACATCATTAAATGCTATATCTATCGTTTTAAGCAAAGACCAATTGAGAAGATCAAGTGTCCGAATGCAATCAAGGGTTGAGATTGTTTAAGGATATTCTAGAGAATATTTACCAAGAAAGAAATATTCTGAGAATTATTTTAAAGAAGAATATTTATATTCAAATATGGAAATTATTTGGACAGAAAATTCTAGATCAGTTTTAGTAATTCGGTCATAAATTTTGACTCGAATATTGGAATTGGGCAAACTCAGCGGCTATGGAAAGGGGACTTAAAGCCCATTATTTTTGTCTCTAATATAGATTTTATGATTCACACTCCAAAAGGGACAAAATCGAGATGGAATTTGCTACATTTATGGAAAGAAAATTCTGGCAGATTTCATTCTCTGCCAAATTTATTCTTCTTTCCTTTGGAGAAACCCTTAGAGAACTATTATATAAAGTGGACAGCAGAGTGAGGAGAAATACAAAAGAGAAGAGGAGGACGCATTAAGCAATCAGTTAGAAGACATCCAGGTTTACTTGTTTAAATTCTTTTTACTCATGTCATCTTTCATATATTTGCTTTGTTCTTTTATCATGTGTAACTAAAATCCTCAACTAAGGTTGAAGATGAAACGTCCATTAATGAAATACAGTTCTCTTATTCTTTTTATCAATTCTTATTTGTATAATGCTTATGATTTTTGCTTCATATGATTAATTGTTATAAGTTTCTTTCACCATTATTATCATATATTGATGGTAGTTAGGAATATTAAATAATTAATCTAGGCTTACTTTTTATATTATTTAAAAGTAATAATATTTGATCCTATGTTTTTCATTAAGTTAAATACATAGGATGCTTAGAATTTTACAACTTGTAAGTGAAGGAAAATCTAGATTTGAAAATATTTTACTTGAGTTTTAATGATAAAATCTTTCGAAAAGAATGGAGTGACTCCCGAATTGTTTTTATTACTTAAGGAATTGATTAATTGATGATTGAGACTTTATGAATTTAATGGTGGTGAAATCCGATACCTTAGTATTTTTTCTCTGTTGATTTCAAACTTTATTTTAATTTTAATCTTGCTTGTTTATTATTATTCACTCTACAATCAATTTAGGTAAGTAGGTTAGTTTTAATTTAATTTAGATTTGTGTTAGCTAGTTTTCTTCAAAGCATTTCCTTGGGTTCAACCTCATTCTTGCCGTTCTATATTCCAATAGATTCATGCGTTTGCGAGTATATTTTAAAATCAACATCACTTCTCATTTTGAACTTACCATCAAAGGCTTGGAGGTACTCATTGATGATGACATATGTGTGAGACCAAGCTTTGGAGGTGTTAGAAAATATATGCTTCAAATGACATTTAAGATATAACTAATCTTATATATGCCATGAGATAATTAATAATATGCTAAAAAATAATTAGTTAAATATTTTACTGGATATTTAATTAAACATGCAAATTAAAGTAATAAAATAATAATAACAAATAAATAACCTGAACCAATGCTAGTATTGAATACTATATCCTTAAGACAATTTACGTCCCGCATGGTGCTGACGGACTTTATGGCGCTTGTCTCTCAGGATACAACGGTTTACATTTACCAATAGCAACACTACAATCTCGTGGATACGGCGAACCTACTTCGTGTAATACTCTCTCTGACTCAAAAATGCATCTATACTATATAAATGCTGAATTGGGTGCAATTCGAACCAAATGATTCGGACCAATCTTAATATGGCCCGATGAAATTGGATTAGGGTCTAAGTGGCTCAAACCACTTGACGTATGGTTTGAACCACTTGGGTTGGGTTCAAGTCTAGAGAGGGAGATAGAAGAAAATGAATTGAATTAATTGCAAATGGCAGCCTAAGGGGGTATTTATAGAAATAAAAGTGTCTTTTCGGATTGGGTGTGTCTCTTCATCACTGGACACAACCATTTACATGTGTCTATTCATCACTTGACATAACTATTTATATTTGCCTATTCATCACCAGACATACCCACTGCAATAAGTTACAATGGTTCACATTGAATATGCTATGTCTGTTGGTTTTGAGTTTCATATTTTCGTCCCACAACTAACCAGTGATCACACACGTTCAGTCAAAAGCATTTGTTGATGACTGATAAAATAATTTTCATTCAAAAATTCTAACAGGAGGATCTACTTAAGGTTATACAATAGTTTTAACGATTGAATTGTAATATATTTATACCATTAGGGTAAGTTTCCTACACTTCATATATATATATTTTCATGAAACTCATATCTACCAAGCATGAGCATATTATTGGGTTTTTATTCATGTTTCCACCATTTTAAAATGCCATTTCCCAATAGTTAGAGAAGTAATACATAAACAGACTTTGGGTTTCCCATAGCTAGACTATTATTCACGTTGGCATATTGATCAAGACTTCTAGCACAATAGAATGATCAATCCAATTATTTACCATAGTTTGTTAAAGACCCTATTCATCCCTCCTTTATGCTCCGTTCGTTAGGAATGAAGAAAATTGAGTGGAAGGGAGAGAAGAAGGGAAGGATGAGACATCGTTGGATGGAAGAGTAGAGAAAAACCTACCAAATTCCTTTGTTCGTTAGGAGAGAAGGGAAGAGAGAATTTAAAATTATTTTTACCATTATATCCTTCATTATTTTTTTTCCCCTGTAAATAGCCATCATCTTTACTACGCATTTGAACAGTACCAATAATTTCACTCTAATTTGTTGTTTGCTTTATTTATATATGCATATATAACTACTGTATTTTGAACTAGGTGTGAACATAGAGTTTTTTTCGTTCTAAATATGTTCTTAAAAAATGCTTTATGGCATTGTATGGTTCTTTATATAGATTGTGTATTTTTTCTTCTGAATCATCTTTTTTACTAATAAGGTAATTATATAACAAACAATCTATATATATATATAACACATGAATCAAACCTGTTTGTAGATAGTGTCGATCTATGTATATGAGAGAGATCACTGGAGAGAGCGTTTTGCGTGAGATGAGATGTGTAGGGTTTAATTTTAATTAATATTTGGGAAGGATAATATTGTAATTTAGTAATTTTATAATAGCTCTACTTGTTTTCTCTCCTGTCTTCCGCCTAAATTTTGGCGGATAAAATTTTGTAAAGGAGGGACATCCCTCCTATTATCCTTTCTCTTCGTGTCTCCTTCTTACCGAATGAAGGAATTTTGTTCTTTCCCTCCAATTTTCTTTCCACCCCTCTTCATTCCTTCTTACTGAACAGAGCATTAGGGTCCTTATTTGGGCAACCAAATATTTTCAGCATCTAAATTTTTTAATATGACATAAATGGTCTTGAATGAACATTTACAAGTATGAAAGATTATTTAGAATACCTGTTGATTATCATTCATCAATACTCGAAAACATTTATCCTATATTGATCTTTTTACTTGATTACTCAATCTTAAGTGTAGGATTATGAGCTTATACAAATCTACCCATCGAGAGATTATTGTTGTATGAAACTCAAAACCTAACTTATTTAGTTATTACGGTCAACAACCCTTGGAAAGATCAAGTGAAGTGAATTGCATTTGGCAAGAAAGCTTGGGTTAGCTTGTAAAGGTATTCTATTAACCTGCAACAAGAGTGCGTAAAGGTTTTACTCTTGACTTGCAGGAAATAATCCAAATAGTAAATGTAAGGAATCCTCAAGGGGGCGTCGTGAGGCGAGGGCATCGGCAGGAGTGCTCAACCTCGTTATATCGCGGAGTTTGGTTTTCTCTATCCCTTAAACTCTCTTATTATTATTTGCGCATGTTATTAATCTTAAGTTCTCACATATCATTTGCGCATTATAATAATTGAAAAACGTTTCATAGTTCGCCACTAACCCAAATTTACCCCTCTTGGGCAACAAATTTTTATTAATATTTATTTTAATAAAATTTGATTTGTTTATGTGCTTTACATACACATTTGGTGAATGGTTGTATTGGTTAATTCATGAAATACAAAAGTTGTTCTCCGACTATGTAATGGTGATATTGAATCAGTAGAATAAAAAAAGTCTTGTGCATAGGAGATATAAATCATTGAATTACATTATCATAAATTTGTTCAGATTCAATAATTACAATTAGGCATTCTGTTGAAAAGAATGTAACGTACATGTTGGTTCAATGAGATAAGGTGGCTTGTTTTAGTCATTTGAGTGGAAGACTCAAAACCATATACATTGATGCGTCAGACACATTGAACTGGATTAAGAATAAGTAAAAATAAGAATAATTGTCATACTAATTTTTCACTTGTTAGTGTTATAGCGAGTAACTCTTAAACCCTAGAGAGTAAAAAACTTTTGTCTTTCTTTTATTTACTTTAGTATACAGACCATATGGTCTAATATCTGGGTATTTTAGATAATCATTAATTGTTGGTATTGAAACATGTATTCTCGAGATGATATCTACACTAGAGAAATTATTTTGACTTAATTTGTTTGATCACAAAAATCTGCATTAAGCAGTTTTGATAAAAATTATTTTAATTTATATTTATATACTAAATATATATTATTTTTTCAAAATAAATTTTACGTGATCCAAGGAAATAAATCAAGGAGTTAAAATAAGGGTAAATTTGCAATTTGATTGATGAATTTTTTTTTATATTAAAATACTAATTACATAGAGGGGTTATTTTATAATTTAACATGAAGAGGCTTTTATATATATTTTTTTCCCTTCAAACTAATGTTCATGATTGTGCACCTAAGGTGTTTGACTAGGTCCCATGCTTTTTTTACTCTTCATTAAGGATTTTTTTTTTATTTTTATGTAAATTATGGTCTCTATTTATTTATTAATTTACTGTTTATTTATTTATGGATTGCATGCTATGCTCAAGATGATCGCGTAATCTACATGACTTAATTTTTTCTTAAATTAAATTTAGTTAGTTAAATGAGTTAATATCATCATAAAACTATTATTTTTCTACCAGACCTATTCACCTCCTCTACTAATAAACATACTATGGGCTTGAGTTTTTTTTTTTCGCATTGCGAGGACGACAAATTCAAAGTGAATACCAAATTGTCAACATGTGGTTGCAACCAACGTCCAGCACTTTTAAGTGTGGGATATGAATGTTAGTTCTTCGTAGTGAAATTAAGTTTATCATTCTTTTTGCGCCAAGAATATACAAAATACTTGAAAAAGGACTATGGTTATCGGTATATATGAGTCCCGGCGTGAATAAAAAAGTATGTGTATTTATTTTACCATTAAAATATATATATATACACAAAATTCGTGAAAAAGGACTATGGTTATCGGTATATATGAGTGTCATCTTGCTTAGAGTGAAACTTTAATTGAGGACAGTCTTGCCATAATGAGAGAGGTGCCACTTTTACTGCACAAGTTGCCATTTTCACTACACATTGTTGTGCCACTTTTACTGTATGAGAATCAATTTAAAATATTAGAACATTTTCAACCGTTGTATAGATTTACACAAAAAAAAATTAAATTATTTATTTTTAACTCGAGCGGTTATTTTATACACTTTGTGTAAAAATATATCTCCCAATAATAACCAACCATTATAATTTTTAGAAACTTACTTAATATAGGGTTGATTTGGAATGAAAAAGAGGGAGGAGAGAGAAAATATGATGATGTGGCTGTATAAAAAGGTTGTGTAAAATACACAATAATTTTACATATTGGTGATGCGGTACTGTATCTTAATAGATTGCTGAAGATAAAAAAAAATTACACATCATACGTGACAATGTATATTTTACACAAAAGAGTGTTTTAACACCTTGCTGGAGATGCTCTTAGTGACCTATATTGTTATGAGATTAAGTTTATCCTTTTTACCACACCAAGAGGACAACAAAAATATGTTCCAAATTTTTAACAAGAGATCACACTTGAATGAATGAATTGTAAGTAGTAATTACCATACATATGAATAGAACCAATCTAGAATATAATGATGTACATTGTTATTTCTTAAAACATTTTGAACATGATGCTACATAATACTAATGTGATCTAGAAAACAAAATTGACTAGCACATGCACTGCATACTTTTTTTTTCTTTTTTTCAAATTGCATAAAGAACACACCATACACAAACTAAAAAGTCAAGTGTTATACAAAATTGCAAAAATGAGTAATAAAAAATTAAGTTACAAAAGCTCATATATGTAGTATCTTATGTGCATATTGGTACAATGGAAGTTCTTCAATTGATTGTGATTTCATACAATATAGGAGGTTCTAAACTTGCCACTTAACTTTTATTCTCGTTGTCATCATCCAGTATAAGGTTAACAATGAACTTGGCGTGCATTACATCCACATGTACCTGAAAATTGTGTTTAATCAAAAACATATATCATACTAAGGAGCATTATAAATGACTAACACAAAATAAACTTTAAAAATATAACAAACTTTGGCTGCAATTTTTATGCCTATAAGGATATTAGATTCGAAAACAAATTTCAATTATGAGTTCTACATAATAGAATTTAGGGGGATTAGCATTTAGTTTTGCATGGAACGCCCAAATGGACGTAAAAGCCCAAGCCAAAAAGTCAAAAGTCAACGATTCATAATTATACAAATTTAAACTCTTAAAAAGAAATCTAAAAATAAAATTTGTGATTTTGAAAATAATTTTCTTGGCATTATGAGATTTATGTAAAATAAGGGCTAAAAGTTAAAATTTCACACAAAATTATAGCGCTATTTGAACAACTTTGATAGGGCGTGTGAGTGTGTATTTTTTCAAATTAAATTGTGTGTAATTAAGGTAAATCTTTATGGAATGCGAGTGCATTTAACCGAAAATAAAATAATGTATATAGAGGCTTTTAGGGGACTGAAAAATTTTAATTTTGTTTTCTTGTATTGGTGCAATTCACTTTTGGACTAATTTTCCTAGCGAGGTGTATTGGTGGTTCATTATATTTATACCTATATAATCCGTCAGGCTATATAAAATGGATAAACTCTTGCTAGAAAATTTTCAACAATAACACAATATATACATAGCTATGCATGCATCAATAGATACAGACACATGCATAAATAAGTGTATCTATTGACATTTAAACACATTAATAATCATAAACACATAAACACTCAATTTCCTTACTTAAATAATAAAAAATAAATAAAACAATAAAACAAAATAATAGTAAATATTACCTTGGTGCGCTTAGAGATCTCATCGGAGTAAGTGTGTTCGAAGATCTAGCCAAAGTGGTCGGGTTCCTCTCACCAAAATATTTGCTGCTGGTGAATAGGTTTGAACTTCTATATATATATATATATATATATATATATAGAGAGAGAGAGAGAGAGAGAGAGAGAGAGAGAGAGAGAGAGAGAGAGAGAGACGGATTTAGATATATTACTCCATTCGTTTTAAAATTTTTGTCCATCTTTTTATTTTGGATGTCCATTCCAAGTATGAATATACTATTTTTGTAACATTTCCAAACTATCCTTCGACATTGACATGATTAAACAAGTACAACAATTATAGAGTACTCTTTTGTGATAAATTTAGAAATTCAGTATTATCAATAATATAAATAAGTATTAAAAATTTATTACCGTAAAAAGTTAGATGAAATTTAGTATTATCAATAATATAAAAAATTATTAAAAATTTATTACATAATTTTGGTACGGAGGGAGTATGTTCAATCTTTACCAATAGGTAATTACGGGTAGTATGGTCTTTTTCTTGCATGGTTGTAATGATAAAAATTGGTACTTGTCTTTATCTTTAGGACGTGTGTTGGCACAGTTTGGTCAATTGGTAGGTTGAGGGCAATTGCGTTGAATTGGGCAGATGGACAATTTGGACTATGAAAAAGTATGAATAGTGATGAAAAGTATTAGATTTCTAATTAGTTTTTAGAATTTGATATATGGTCCTTTGCAAGTTGGTAATTTGTAATTTGGGCTCTAAAATTAGTCACTTTCAAATTTTTTCAAAGAAGAAACTATTATTTACTGCTACATACATACATACATACATATATATATATATATATATATATATATATATATATGCATGGATGATTGAATTGGTCAAGATTTATTTATTACTATGATTTGTGTTTGGGGACTTGAGAGGAAACAAAGTGAGTAGCTCTGGCTCAATGTGTCCTACCGGTTTAGACCGTGGTGATGGATGTAAATAAAAACGCCTCTCTTTAATGGCATTTTCTTCTTCAGCAGCATTCAGATCATCAGAAAATAACAATGTTGATTCTCGTCTGCTTTGTTTTAATCCAGGCAATGAAGAAAAAGAAGGTGAAAGGCTTTGCCATTCCGTATTTGGAGGATTACTAGTGCTAGATATCGGCGGCTGCTGCAAGATAATTGTGCTAGGTTTTATAAATTGGTGATGAGTAATGAGTGGTTTAAAGATTTCGAGTTTGGACTCTAAATATAGTTGTCTTCTTTCATGGAGCTTAGGCTTAGGTCTCTTGCCAATCCTTTGGGCTGATGATAAACCTTCATTTGCTACGTTTGATATGGATTGTCCGGTTAAGCGTTGAACCACATCTCGAAAATTGGTTGAGTCTGCCTCCACAAATGTTGTTACCGGTTTAGAACCACCAGTTTTGCCTTGGCTCATTAGATATGATGCTTCTCTTTTGTATAGTTCAGGCTTTTAGTTGCACCAAATGCCCATAAATTAGAAGACTTGTGGCTTAAAATACCTGTATATTTATATGTAAAGCAAACATTTAGCTAGCTAGGTACTTAAAAATCCTTAAGAATGAGCATGTATGTGGTGTGAATATTCATGTATACATGTATTTAATGTTGCCCAAATGTATTTCGTTTGTTTCAATGTAAAATATTTTTTTTCGAAAATATTTTTCTTTTTCAGGTAAAATATATATTTTTTATTTTTACTTTATTCGTGTTTGGCAAAGGTTTACGTTGAGGTTGAGGTTGAGTCTATTGGACGGAACAGGTAAAATAACTTGCCGAAAATATTTAAAAAAAAATATTTTACATGTAAACAAACGGGGCGAATGTGCAAATATTTGACTTGCCTGACCTAATCTAGTCAAGAGACTTGGTATTATCCTAAATTGTGTTGACTTATAAATGAACTTAAAATATCAAAAAGAGTCTTTGAACATAACTAATATAAAAATAGACCTAAAAAAAGTTCAATCACATAAATTTATATATATGGTGCTACTTCTGCATGAAATATTTTGTTTTCATTTATTTTAATTCATTTAATTTGTGTGAGAAATGAGTTCAAATCCAACCTAGCGTACCTATGGGAAGATTTATCTCAAAGGTATAACTGAAACCATTTTAAAAGATATATTGAAAAAATAGCATAAAAAATATACCATAAATTTCTGTAGTAGTGTGCAGTAATAATTTCTTTGGTATAAATGTGTATCATTTATAGAATGGACGTATGCCCACATGGTCTAAAATTTCATGATATACATCCTTTTCAACTAGTAAAAATAAAAATTTGACCCCCTAGCCAGGGTAATATAGAAGGAGATGGATTATAGATTACCAATAACACTACATTAATTACGTGCATGTCTCTTTGAAGGAAGATAAAAAATAAAAAACTTTCCGAAAAAAAAAGATAAAAAAATAAAAAAAATAATAATAAAAAGGTTAGCATTGCAATTAATTTTATATATATAAAAAAAGGTTATATATCATGGGTCAAATCCTAGTATAAGGGTACGTTATTGCTCCAACTTAAAAAATGAGAGATAACCAGTTTTTATTTTATTATTATTTTTACCTTCTTAAGTAACTAATATACTTAATTTTTATTTCTAAGGCTACTTAAACTCTAAATCTTTAAGAAAATAAAGAAGAAGCACTGCACTATATCTCTTGTATCGTGAATTCAATTATTATGGTAGTCATTTTGCATAAAATAATGAAAATAAAAATTAATACGAGAGCAACTAGTTTCTATAAACTAATGTTACAGGATATCCCTCACTATTGATTTTAGTAAAACCATGTATTAAATGTCAACATGCCTATATTTTAGGCTCATGTACTTCTCTTGATATAATTGTATGCCTGCAATCATAACGCCTTAAGCAAAAATCACATCTCAAACAAAAATGGATATATAATATTATATAAAAATATATGCACATATATACATATATATAAACTCCTATATATAATTTATATATTGCATACATATACAAATATTTATTCACAAATACACATACATACTTACACATTTATATACATATATAAACACATATGTACAAATATATAAACATATACATACAAAAAATACACATATAAACGCATACCTATACATATATATACTTACAAAGTTGCAAAAATATATGCATATTTACACTAATGTTATGTATTATATGGGTATACATGTGATTATGTCAAGTATATATGTATTCATGTGTATATGCATGTATCTTTGTATGTGCATATATGTTTATTTATATATTTATTTGTGCATGTGTGTGGTGTTGGAATTTAGTGTGCCCTGCAAGTCAATTCGATATTTTATTGATGTAATTTGTTATTTTAATTTATATGTTTTACATACATATATGGTGAATCCCTAAGATTAGTTGAATTTAGAGTTCGTTGACTCAAAGGTTTCTTTGATTGTGTAACATGATTTATGTGCATCCATGATATAGTTAAATGCACAGGAGATAAAAGTCATGGAAATCATATTTTCGTAAAAGGTAGTTTGCCCTCTTGAATAAAATTAGTCACTCAATTATGTAACAGTGTAACACATAAGTTTCTATTTATGAATTAACTTTTCTCATTCATTATATATAAAAGGACTTGTACATGTTGGTTTGTACCACACACTCAACTAATCGAGTATAAGTTGTAGAAATTATGATTGTCATCATTGTAACTTTTCATTTTTTGTGTTATACTTAATTACACTTAAGTTTGGGAGAATAGTGGATTTGCGTATTAGTTAGTGGTGACTTTGATTTATTCAGTGGGCCTTAAGGTCTAAAATCTGGGTACTTTCGGTAATCATTAATTATTACATAGAAATTTTACGAGTATTTTCAAGTTTAATGATATCTATGCAATGTTTATACTTTATACTAGTTGATTTATTATGAATTCATTAAGTTTGACTGCAAAATTTGGATTCAGTAATTTTTGATGAAATTATTTTATTATTTATTTCTTTATTAAATATATTATTTTCCGAAAGGAAACTTTTGTGTTGTCAAACAGAATTAATGAAGAAATTATTATTAAAAAGGTAAATTACTAATTGAATTGATGACTATTTTATTTGGCCGATATTCTAATTTGTGCATAGAGGGGTAATTATGTACTTTAACACATTACGACACTTTTGAATATAGTGTTGACTATTACTTTAAGTGACCCATTGGAAGCCAAGTTTGATTAGGCCTATCTAGATATCGTCTCCGGACCATTGCTGATGTGGTATGGTGACATGATAGGTATGTGCATAAAGTATTTACTTCGTACGTATCTAATAGTCTCCTCGTATGTATCTTTTATTGCCTTCTGAAGAGAGAAGGCAATAAGAGAACTTTTTGAGACCGAGTTGACTCGGCAGCGAGGCAGAGCCACGGCCGAACCCGAAATTCCGGCGGGTTGACGGGAAGAGAAGAGAGAACAGCTGTCGCCTCCACTCTCTCTACCTCTGGCCTCTCTCCAAGCTGCATTCTTCCTCCTCTTCATCCTTCGCCTTCTCGTTGTCGGCGTGGCCGTGTCTACCTCCTCCGCCTTGTCTGGCGGTTCCGGCGAAGCCTGCCACCGCCAAAACTCGCTGGGGAAAGGATGAGGTTCATTTCTCGCTGTCTCTGCTCTCGATTCGTTACTACGAGAAGATGAATTTCAATAACCGAAGCAAATGACTTGAACTAAGCTTGAATTTGTCTAGACTCTGCATTTAATTTTGGTTTTTCTTTTAATTCCTATCATTATATGTGTTTGTATGATCAGATCTGTATCCTAAGTATGTGCTAGTTTCTTGATTTCTGAGATCCTTTGTAAATTTAGATATGATTGATCTATTCTGTTATAATTCTATAATTAGAGGTGTGATGTGATTGTGATTTTTATTTGCTTTCACTGAATCGAACTTCCGTGATGTGCGTGTTTGGATTTGAGGAAAGTGAGGGAAAAGAAATGCATGTGGATGCGTTTTCTGAGTTGATACAAGCAGAAGGAAACAAAGGGTTCGAGTTGTTAGCGGCCACGCTTTCTGGCAATTTGCGCACAAAGATTTTGGAGGCTAAATGGGTAAAGGTTTGGTATGGATCTAGAGATGGAGATGGGTTTGTGTGGAAATGGGAGAGAGGGATGGTAATAGTAGAGGACGTTGATGAAGAGAGGAGAGAGAGTAAAGAAAGAAAGCAGAGGAAAGAAGAAGGGGAAGCCATGGGTCTGCCTTCTTTTGGCCCACGTATAATTTTCGTATATTGTATTCGTATATGTTAAGTATGTATTTTGTCTATAGTATTTGTATACGGTAAAAAAAAGTAAGGTTTAAAAATTACTGCTGACTTGACGCTTCGTCATCGCTAACAAGGCAATGACATGACAAAATGTACTGACGTAACTTCATCCCAACCTTTGGATCTACCATGAACGCCCATCCTAGATCCCACCCTTAGTAAAAAAGAAACCAAGAGGTAGTGAAAAAATGAGTGTAAGTAAGGTTAACCCTAAGGTTTACCTAAGGTAGCTGTCGCCCCTTCCATACAAATACGTGTGCATTAGTTTTGATGCAAAAGATAAGTTCTCATATGCAATCTTGTACTTTCTCACTCTAGCCTAGGGTTTCATACTCTCTTGTTTGGAGTCCATTCTTTCATAACTATTACGAAAATATTTTATGTATTGACATATTCCTCATCAAAACTTTTATCAGTTTGTTATTGTATTTGTTTAGTCAAACATAGTACTTCAGAAAAGACAAGGCAGATATGATATGTTAAGAATATCTAAGAATTGTTGAATCATGACAGAGATTTCAGTAAAGATAAGGAGAGTATTGACAGATGTTTTAAGAGTATCTCAAATTAAGTTACAGACTGCAGTTATTACAAGAGAGAGATGTTCTATAGAGACATATATATCAGACACAATAAGCAAAAAGGTGAAATCAACATATTCAATTACTTGAGTAGGATTCAGGTAATGACTTAGCTTGACTTTAGGATTGGTTATTGGCTGAGTGAGGAATCGTTTTATAGCTTTTCTAGATATGCTTATAATGTTTCTAGAATCAAGTTTCAATGGTGCATAACTTGCTTGATCATCTTAGGCATCTAAAGGAGACTTTATGTTTCATGCATGCTTAATACTTTAAGAAGTCATTTGGCACAATAGGTGGTACAAATGAATTACATGATCATATCTTAAGTGTGCATTTAGAACCTACTTATGTGTGTGTGTGCGCGTGCGTGTGTGTGTGTGCGTGCGTGTGCGTGTAGTCATCTATATATATACACACATTTTATTTTGGTATCAAGGAATCTAGTTTTTACATGATTAAGATGTATATATATATGTGTCAATTGCTTAAAGTTTTTTCATATATATAGACACACACACACTCTGGTATTTCTTGAGAAATCT